CACCATCCTCTGAAGGGGTTACCCAAATTGCCAATAGGGAATAGGTATGCATACCCCTCTGGCTGCTTCCATGATGAACAGGGATGCAGGGTGAGGCAATTGGAGTACCCCTTCAGTGGGTCTATCTAAAAGACTCCCAAATTGCATAACTCTTATCTGTAGGGTGAAAAGAAAGTCCTTGAATCCTGAATAGGAGATGTGAAGGAGAAGTAAAGGTAAGACGATGTGAAGGAGAAGTAAAGGCAAGAGTAATTAGTATTACAAGTTCTAGACAGGGAACTAGAAAAAAGTCAGAACAGGGGAATTTTCAAATGTTCATTTGAGAGTCCATTGGAGTTTCTTGACAAGGGCTTCCAAAAGCATCCCTCTATTGGGTTCCTCCTCATTTTTCTTTTGTCTTTCAAGGCTGAACTCTAGAGTAATGGATTCAGGATTTGCTCTCAGGTATTTTGATAACACCACATGGAGGCAGGATCCAGGGGCTCTCAGTCAGTCCCCTGGGTTCTCAGGCCCTCTTCTAGATGGAGTCCAGAGGGAGGCCAGACTCGGCACTCTCTGGCAGTCCGCTGAGATCTGAGCTGCTACACCAGTGTAGGTCCGAACTCACCCTCTCAGGCTGTCTGCTCCAGAACTGGAATTTAAGTCCGTTTCCCAAATCCTGAACTAAAATGGATATTATTGATTTTGATTTTTTGATTTTTTTACAAATCCGATAAGTAAAATGTGATACCTGCAACCCTCCTCCTTCCAGAATTTCCGTCCTTATAGATGTTATTTCTTAATTTTGAATCATATTTATTTTTTATTTTGCATCATTAACATTTATGAAAACCTTTAGCACACACATTGCATTTCCCTCTCTTGCTGGTGCCCATGTCTCTGTTCTGATACTCTGGTGGGCATGCCAGTAATCTTTTAAATTTATTTTTGGCAAACTTTCATAGATAATTTAATTCATATATATGTATATGTATATACATATATATGAATCCTGAGTTACAGTTTATTTGAGAAAGGTAAGATGAAAATAATGACTCCACCCCCTTATTTACCAGCTCTCATAGTCATTTGGTTCCCCAGCACCTTCTAGAAGTCATCAATGAGATTGTTGTGAGCAATGAGTATTATTGTGAATTCATAGATTTTCACATATTTGATGTATTTCAATGCATTGTTGTTAATATTTTATCTAAATTTGCTCCTTCTTGGCCAGGGGTAGCCTTGTTTATATTATCTCTTGTGGATCAGAAGTTTAGCATTTTTACATAACCAAATCTGCCGATTTATTATATATGTTCTCTGGGAACTATTAAGATCTACTACCTTTGAGTAGATCTTATATCTACCAACTCCATTTGGAAATGGCTTCTTCATTTGATACAAAAAATATGTTAAAACTTGACTAGAGTATCTAAAGATGTAAGTTCATGTTACCCTTTATGAAAATATGTGTAGTTTTGTGGGAGTGAGCCTTATGTTTGGGAAAGAGAGTGACCGTGCATGTGTAGGAGGGTGAGTTAGCCTCGAAGATTTTGTCTAACATATACATTCGACTAGTTTCACGACCAGCAACAAGTCACTTAAACTGCCTTGGCCTAAGTCTGGTGTGGCCCACATCTCCATCCAATCCCAGCACTGTGGAGACAGAGAGACAGGGCAGTTTGGAGTTCCATGCCAGCCTGGGCTGCACAGTGAGATCCTGTCTCAAAACAATTAAACAAAAACTTTTCACAGCCTAAAAGTAAGTGTTAGATACTTCAAATAAAAGTAAACCTTGTGAAAAGAAATAACCTGAAGGAGAAGAATAGTAGGTAACAGGCCTTAATAAGGGAGATATGGATAAAAATTGGGTTAGTCTAAG